TTTTTTTTGCATACTCATAAACGACCAAAATCTTAGGAAAAAGTCATAGTTCTGGCGCGAAGTAATGCCTATTTTCTTCAGATCACCAGCTGTTCCGCCTCACCTGAGTTGAGCTCATCACATCAGGATGATGAGGAGCATATCTATACGAATATTCGTGAAATGGATGAGCTAAACAACCGCCCGTTCCCCCCGGTGCCTGATGTGACGGATGTGCCACGTCGGAATCTTAACAATGGATGGAAAGAGTACGAGACGGAAGCGGGCAGGTGGGACTTTTTTCCAAGCGTTGTGACTAGTTCCTCAGTGCTCTATTAGTACCAATCATTTTTATCTTCAATGTATTTTTTTTGTTTATATTTGGCCAAATATTGAATCATGATTTCTCACGTTTTTTCTGATTGTTTTGGACGGCATGCTGTCTTCAAAATGAAATGTGTGAACTCGCATTACAATAGAAAATTTTATAGCGCTAACATCCGCCCTGTCGGTGCGATGTTTAGTACCCTGTTTATTCGGGTATAAGGCCGCTCGTATTTGAGTTGCTGCGGATGGGCGGTCTGCCGTAAGACAATTTCACTGATAAAAGTATAAATTTTAGTATGATGAAAGTGTGTATTGTCAAAAGGCAACAAAAGACCAAGTCAGGCGCGGTCGCAGTTTCGATAATTTGAAATAGACATTACTATTTACTCTAAATTTTTTTCAAAGGTGGGTTTCTTTATGGAGTTGATGTGAAAGCAAGTTTGATTGGATGATTTCCTCACTAATGAAGATTTGGCTAAAAGCCAGATGATGGTTTGAGGATTTTTGACTTTTAACTATGTTATGTGTTGCATTTCGTACGGTCGATTTCAATTGCTAGTATCTTTTTTGAAAAACATAACTAGAAAGGAGATAGTTCGCAAGAGACACGGAATTTATACACTGTGAGCATGCGGTTTTATGCGAAGAGAGTTCACTAACTGGGTAAATAGGGTAATATGAATATATTGTTAGAAGTTATAGTAGGTGCTTTGCTTGTGAGCCTTTTCTGTCACTGTTTTATAATGTATATTTTAATCTTTTAATGTGAATGGTCATTCTTTAACAGATAATAAAAGTACTGATTTCTTTTTTTCTTAAAATTTTCTTGAAAATAAACAGCATAGTGCTGCTATTATTTAAATGGAATGCGAAAAATTTTTTCTTCAGAACATATTTCTATAATTTTGAAACGGGGAAAAGCCAATGGATTCCGCCAAGATTCATTCGAACACCGGCGCAGGTGCAGGTAAATTTTCTCGTTAATTCCTGCTTTTGATTTAGTACATGGTATGTTCCATCTAGTGCTATTACCGTTTCATCCTCATTTGCACAAGCAAGCTATTCTCGAAAGTTTTTGTTGTCCGAATTCTGCTTCAACTTGTTCTGGGAATGATTTGCAAAAACATTGTTTGGTATCGCAGCATTTGAAGCATTGTAGAACGTTAATGTCATGCATTCTATGGCGTCTTTTTTTGACTGCGTAAGGTTTTTATGTTGTTATAGTGATTTTACGATGTTGGCCTTTGCAAATTTTCAAGAGTACACAACTGGCCAAAACTGTACAGTAGGCCGCATTCGTAGGGTTTAGTCATCGTCTATTGACGATAGCTCGCAAAGAAGCACTTTTCAATATTCAACATCCAAATGCCGAACATTTGCAGTGACTCTTTATTATAAACCATGTCCATATGCAGTCCTCACCGTTACAATTCATTTTTATGTGTTTGATCGTCCCTATTTTAGGCGATACTGCAAGCAACACGCACAGAAGTTGACGAAAATTTCTCGACGACGTCTTCAAAGCAGGAAGACTCGCATTCAATAGAGGACGAGTCGTCGCTAGACGTATCGTCTTCATCACGTACCGCACAGTCGGACGAGGGTATAC